CCTGAGAACGTAAAGGAGTTACAACAGTTCCTTGGATTCGCCAACTACTACAACCGGTTCGTACCGAACTACGCCAAGATTGCCGCACCATTAACGAACCTGTTGAAGAAGAATACACCATATCAATGGGAGGCGAAGCACCAGGAAGCCGTGGAACAACTTAAAACCGCACTCACGTCCGCACCTGTTCTTATCCTGCCAGACACTGAACTTGACTATGTCATCGAGGCCGATGCTAGCGATCAAGCAGTGGGCGCAGTACTCATGCAGGATCAAGGGAAGGGACTGCAACCCATTGCATACCTCAGCAAAAAACTTCACGGGGCAGAACTCAATTACCCCATCCATGACAAAGAGGCCCTCGCCATCGTCAACGCATTTAAGGCATGGAGGTGTTATCTCGAAGGAAGAAAAACGACTGTCTACACCGACCACTGCAGCCTCAAGTACCTGAAGACCCAACCAACACTCTCCACGCGGCAGGTCCGGTGGATTGACTTTCTCGAAACCCACTTCCACTACGACATCGTGTATAAGCCGGGGCACAAGAACAAGGTAGACGCACTGAGTCGCCCTGCACACGTAGCCGCCTTACAAATCGATGGCATGAACCCACTTCTGAAGGGACTCTTCACGCATGGATACACCATCGACCCCGAAGTCTCTGTAGCAGAAAAGCGCCATCTTCTACATTGGGATCAAGACATCGCATACCGCAAGGGCTCCACAAAAATATGGGTACCTAATTACCCTCCCTTACGCCAGTTACTGCTCGAAGAATATCATGATGTTCTCTACGCGGGCCACTTCGGTAGTAACAAGATGCTTGCCGGTATTGCGAAGCATTATTATTGGCCCCACATGGCGGATGACGTACAAAAATTCGTCACCTCGTGCGACACATGCCAACGGATGAAGAGTAGCAAACAGAAGAAAGCAGGATTACTACAGCCTCTTCCAGTCCCTGAATAGCCTTGGCAAGTGGTTAGCCTCGACTTCATCACCGGGTTACCACCTACCAAAGCTGGTTACGACGCCATTCTAGTCGTCATCGACAACTTCTCCAAAATGGGACACTTCATTCCGACACACACAACGGCTCGCGTCGAGGAGACAGCGCAAATATTCTTCCGCTACGTCATCTCGCAACATGGCATTCCAACCACGCTGATCTCCGACAGAGACCCGAAATTCACGAGTAAATTCTGGAAGGAGCTCATGTCGCTCATGGGGACCAAACTTGCCATGTCATCAGCCTATCATCCCCAAACGGATGGTCAGACAGAGCGCCTCAACCAGATTGTCGAACAACTTCTGCGAGCAGCGTGTAAGGACGATATCTCTAAATGGGATGCACATCTGCCGGTTCTCGAGTTTGCGTATAACAACGCCACGCACGCCGCAACAGGGCAAACTCCTTTTTTCCTCTGTTACGGTCGCAACCCACTCACGCCTCAGAAACCAACAGTACCCGCCACGGTGCAACCCGCACATGACTTCATTTCCACTATGCACCAATTGTGGGAGCGCACGCATAAACGTCTTCTGACTATCCAGCAGCAACAAAAGAAGCTCGCTGATCGGAGTCGCAACGACCATTCCATCCAGATTGGCGATCAGGTGCTTATGGATAGACGCAATCTTGACATTAGCCATCTTCCGTCTAAGCTCCGACCTCGCTTCTGCGGACCTTTTCTCGTCGAGGCGCACGTCACTCCAGTAACCTTCCGCTTGCGTTTACCAGCTACCTGGAGGATTCACAATGCCTTCCATGTTCAACTTCTCAAGCCCTTTCGGGACCCAAACATGGTCTTCAAAGGTCGCCAGCCGCCACCGCCACTGCCAGTGATCGTTAATGGGGAACCCAAGTACGAAGTCAAAGCCGTTCTGGCGCACCGACGACGACGTAGCGGCACCTTGGAGTTCTTGATTCGTTGGAAAGGCTATGATCCTTCCGAGGATACCTGGGTACCTGAACACGACATGGATAACGCCCGCCGTCCTCTACAGGACTACCTTGTCAAGCAGGGTGTTACTTCTACCACCCAGCTTTGAGGGGGGGAAGTGTGAGAGGACGTCCCCGTTATAATATTTTCTCACTATTATATTTTTCCGTTATCCTATTCTCCCTTTTCTCATCTTTATTTTGGTCTTTATCTCATCTCAATCGGCCTACTATTCTGTTTTCTAGAGCCTTCTATTTATTTCTCTTATTTCCTACTTTTCCCACCGACATACCTATTATACGGCACCGACAGCGCCGACAGTGGTGTATACAGTGTAATCTGGGCGTAATCCCAAGTGCCAATAGACTTGCGTGCTTATGCGCACTTGTGATTGTAGTATCGGGAAGGGTGTGTTCCCGAAGGTTCGTTTTATCTCGTTTATCCTTGTACTTTCCGAGTATAAATAGGCCTTGTATTCAGTTTTAGTGACAAGTTTCGATTGAGAATTCGATCCTGTGACAGGCGACAGGGCCGCTTAAAGGCTGGCGTCAGGGCCGCCTAAGGGCGGCGACGGAGCCGCAGTAAGGGGCGGTGACGGGGTCGCTTAAAGGGCGGCGCAACTGTCAGAACATTATAGCTTACTTATTTGTGTAGGCTATAGAGGGGTATCCCATAGGGGGTACAACCCAATTAGGGTTTCCTATTTGTACTCACTTCGTTCATAGTCATTCCATTCTCGTTCTTTCTTTCACATGGTATCAGAGCAGGTTCCCTCCTAGGGATTGCTTCTAGGGCCCACCGAAGCGCGCCCCGAGGCGCGTTTTCCTTTTTTTTAGCGACCCGTTGTGTTGCCCCCAGCGGCCCGTCGCGCCGCCCTTCCCTTAGCGGCCCCGCCGCCCTTCGATCGCGGCCCCGCCGCCCTTCGATCGCGGCTCCGCCGCCCTTCCTTAGCGGCCCCGCCGCCCTCTGCTAAGCGGCCCCGCCGCCCTTCGATCGCGGCCCCGCCGCCCTCTGCTAAGCGGCCCCGCCGCCCTTAGATCGCGACCCCGCCGCCCTCTGCTAAGCGGCCCCGCCGCCCTTCGATCGCGGCCCCGCCGCCCTCTGCTAAGCGGCCCCGCCGCCCTTCGATCGCGGCCCCGCCGCCCTCTGCTAAGCGGCCCCGCCACCTTGCTCACGCGGCCCTGCCGCCCTCTGCTACGCGGCCTTGCCGCCACGTCGCCCGTGCACCTGCCCGTGCACCCACCCGTGCACCTACCCGTACGGCCGCCAGTGCGGCCGCCCGTGCCAAGCCGTCCGTGCAGCCGCCCGCGAGCCATCCCAGCCGCCCGTGCGGCCGCCCGTGAGTCGCCCGCGAGACGCCCGCGCCGCCAGAGCCGCCCGAGCCGCCCGCGAGACGCCCGCGCCGCCCGAGCCGCCCGAGCCGCCCGCGAGACGCCCGCGCCGCCCGAGCCGCCCGAGCCGCCCGCAAGACGCCCGCGCCGCCCGAGCCGCCTGCGAGACGCCCGCGCCGCCCGAGCCGCCCGAGACGCCCGAGCCGCCCGTGCTGCCCCAGCCGCCCGAGGAGCCGATCTTCTGCTCCTGTGGGGCTCCTACTGCTCCTGGGCCGGCGCAGCTGCTGTGCTGCCGTGTTGCTGTGTCGCTGTGCTACCCGACTCTTCCTGCCCGGTGAGACTGTCAGCTGCTACAATGGCCACCCCCAGTGTCCTGACTTTTGACGCTGAGGTTCGCGCCATTGACTTTGCAGTCTGGATTGAGGACCTGCAGCTGTACTTACTGTGCGATGCGATCGATGAGGTTTCTCTCTTTGACTTTGTCTCTGGCGCTGTCCCTGCACCTCCTGCTGATGCTGACCCCACTGTTCGCTCCAAGTGGGCCACACGCGATGCTGCTGCACGTCTTGCTGTGCGTCGCCACCTCCCTTCCTCCGAGCGTGCACAATTTAGTCAGTGCAAGACCGCTCAGGCCTTGTACGACGCTGTAGTTGCGCGCTACTCCTCCCCTTCCACTGCTACACTGAGCCACCTCATGCTACCGTACCTCTTCCCTGACCTTGCTGCCTTTCCCACAGTCACTGACCTCTTTACCCACCTTCGCGCTAGTGACACTCGCTACCGAGCTGCGCTTCCTGCTGCCTTCCTCGCCGAAAACCCCCCTCCCATGTACATCACCCTCTACTTTCTAGTCACCCGTCTCCCTGAGTCCCTTGGTGCTGTTAGGGACCAGTTTCTCTCTGTCTGTCCCACCACCCTCACTGTCGACCTCCTTGAGAAGTCCCTGCTAGCGGCCGAGAAGAGCATAGTCGCTGTAGGGGCCTCTCGTGGTGACCCGCGCACCCCCAGTTTTGAGGGGTGTTCTCCTTCCCCCCTGCTACCCTCTGTCGCCTCTGCTGCTGCGGCCGACCTCGTTGGTTTAGAGTCGGTCGGTGCGGCGTCTGCCCCCAGCGGTAGGCGCCGCTCTGGCAGGAGCAAGGGGGGCAAGGGAGCGGGTGGAGCTAGCGGGGGCGGTGGCGGAGGAGGTGGGGGCGGCGGGGGGAGTGGGGGTGGCGGTGGGGGTGGAGGCGGGGGTGGAGGTCCTGGTGGCGGCGGTGGAGGCGGAGGTGGCGGCGGAGGTGGTGGCGTAGGAGGCAGTGGGAGCGGCGGGGGCGAGGGTGGCGGTGGCGGCGGTGGCGGCGGAGGCGGGGGTGGCGGTGGTGGAGGTGGTCGGAGTGGCTCGTCCCAGAGGAGCGGCACTGGGGGTGGTCAGCGCCAGCAGCAGCAGCAGCAGTAGCAGCAGCAGCAGCGCTCTCGCGACGTCCCCGCCCCTTAGCAGCTCCGTGAGTGGTACTCGCAGCGTCAGCGTGGTGGGGCGTTCGGTCCCTGCACCTACGTCCTTCGCACCGGCGACCGCGCGGGTGAGCAGTGTGGGGGCACCCACACCGCTCGCCGCTGCTTTGCCCGCCTGACCGACGCTTGGCGCCAGCAGTTTCCGGAGGCCTCTGAGATCCCCCGCTGGGGAGAGCTGTCTAGGGCTGGTGTAGCTGTGTTTGATCTTGACTTTGATGCTATCCTTGCTGCCATGTATGCTGTGACTGTTAGTGATGATGGTGACTGTTACCGGTGCTTTCCGCCCAACCCGGGCATTGGTACTGCTGTGTCAGGTGCCAGTGAGGCTGCTGCTCTAGGTGCCAGTGCGTCTGTGCTCTCAGGTGCTAGTGAGTCTGCCCTCTCAGGTACTGTGTCGGCTTCTGCCTCCCACACCTTCACCCTTGACTCTAGGGCGTCTCGCTCCTTCTTTCGGGACCGCACCACTCTCACGCCGCTTAGTCGGCCGGTTGCGGTGTCCCTGGCTGACCCCTCTGGGGGTCCTGTCCTGTCTTGTTTCTCCACAGTCCTCCCGTGTCCGGCGGCTCCCTCTGGCACCCTGACTGGTCTTTACCTCCCCTCGTTCTCTACGAACCTGGTGAGTGGTGCTGACCTACAGGATGTGGGGGTCCACCAGTTCACTCCTGCTCGTCAGCGGGTGACACACTGCACAGAGGCTAGCACAGGTCGCCACCTAGCCACGTTTAGACGTCAGCCAGGGTCGAGCGTGTACACACTGACCACTTCTTCTCCTCCCGGTGCTGAGTCTGGTAGAGTCCCTTCGTCTGGTCAGGTGTTTGCCGCAGCGTCCAGGTCTGGTCCTGAGTCTGCCCCCTGTTCGTGTCACTGTCTGTCTCACGAGACTCTCCTTTGGCACCACCGCCTTGGCCACCCCTCTCTGCTTCGGCTCAGAGGCATGGCCTCCCGTCTTCTTGTGTCTGGTCTCCCCCGGTCCCTCCCTCCCCTTCCTCAGGGCCCTGGCCCTGCCTGTGTCCCCTGTGTCGAGGGGCGCCAGCGTGCTGCCCCTCACTCCTCCCAGTTTCCTCCGACAGAGGCTCCGTTGCAGACACTTCACATGGACGTATGGGGCCCTGCCCGCGTCCGTGGACTCGGTCACGAGCGCTACTTCCTGTTGGTGGTTGACGACTACTCGCGTTACACCACAGTCTTCCCCTTGCGCAGCAAGGGTGATGTCACTGAGGTGCTGATCGACTGGATCCGCGCAGCTTGTCTCCAGCTCAGGCAGAGCTTTGGCTCGGACTTTCCTGTGTTGCGTCTGCACTCGGACAGAGGCGGAGAGTTCTCCTCTGGCCTTCTGCGTGCCTTCTGTAGTGCGCGAGGCATCCGCCAGACCTTCACGCTTACGGACTCACCGCAGCAAAATGGGATTGCAGAGCGCCGCATTGGCATGGTCATGGACGTCGCTCGTACGTCTATGATGCATGCGGCTGCCCCCCATTTTCTGTGGCCGTTTGCGATCAGGTACGCGGCGCATCAGATCAACCTCCACCCCAGGGTCTCCAGGTCGGAGACCTCCCCAGCCCTGCTGTGGACGGGGAAGGTTGGCGATGCGTCGGCGTTCCGGGTCTGGGGATCTCGGGCGTTTGTCCGCGACTTGTCTGCGGACAAGCTGTCCCCTCGCGCTGCTCCCTGCGTCTTCCTGGGGTTCCCCCCCGACGCCCCTGGGTGGCAGTTCTACCACCCCACCTCTCGACGTGTTCTGTCCTCCCAGGACGTCACGTTCGATGAGTCGGTTCCCTACTACCGCCTCTTCCCCTACCGCACTCCTTCCCTTCCCCCGCCCCCGCTCTTCTTGGTACCAGGTCCCCCCCTGGTAGACCCCCTCCCCCCTCAGGGTCCTGCCCCTTCAGGTGTGTCCCAGGTAGACGCGGTCGAGCCTGTTGATGTCACTGGTGACTCTGGTGCTGCTGCGGGAGCTGAGCCTGGGGGTGCTGAGCCTGGGGGTGCGGAGTCTGGGGGTGCTGAGCCTGGGGGTGCTGAGCCAGGGGGTACTGAGTCTGGGGGTGCTAAGCCTGGGGGTGCTGAGTCTGGGGGTGCTGAGCCTGGGGGTCCTGAGCCTGGGGGTGCTGAGACTGGGGGTGCTGAGCCTGGAGGTGCTGAGCCTGGGGGTGCTGAGACTGGGGGTTCTCCGCCTCGAGGTGTTTTGCGTGAGGGTGCTGAGCCTGGAGGTTCTCCGCCTGGAGGTGCTTCGTCTCGCCGAGAGCCACTCTCCCCACAGGAGCTGCATGAGTGGTTTGCCCGGCGCTGGAGGCGTGCTGCTGGTGCTGGAGGTTCTTCGGCTGCAGAGGGTGCTGCTGCCGCGCGTCCCGGAGGTGCTCGTGCTGTGGGTGCTGGAGCTGCTGGGCCTGAGGGTTCTCCTGCAGCTGGTACTGCTGAGGGTGTTGGCGCTGAGACTACTGCTGGCGGTCCGACTGGCAGTGCTCCTGGTGCTGCTGGGGGTGCTGGAGGTGCTGCTGGAGGTGCTGCTGGAGCGGGTACTCCTGCTGGGGGTACTGGTGCTGTCCCTGCTGTTTCTGGCGTTGCCACGCGGCCCCGACCGTACTTCGTTCCGCTCCTGCAGCAGGTTCTTGGTCTTACACCTTCGCCTGGTCCTCCTCCTCCTCCCTTAGAGGGTCCACAGCCAGTCCCGTCACAGTCACAGCTACAGCCTGCCTCCCCTTTGCCTGCTCCTTCTCCCTACGCCGGTCTGACTGGAGGTCTTACTGAGCGTCGTGAGCCTGCGTCTCGTCCTGCGTCGCCTGTTCGCACTGCACGCACTAGTGGTCGCGGTTCGCGTCAGCGTCCTCCTCCTGTCCCTGGCACGCACCGGATGTCTCTGCGTCCGTCCACTTCTCCTCTGCGTGCCCCTTTGCCTTCTCCTCCTGCTTCCTCTCTTCCTGCTCTTGCCGACCCGGAGTCGGACTCTCTTCGTGCTGCCAGTCCCACTGTCACGCATCTCCTTGCTACTGCTGTCACTGACCCTTCCTTCGAGTCTTCTGCTGCGTCTGCCCTTGTCACTGAGCTTGTCGACTTTGCTGCGCGCTGTCGTCTAGACTACGCTGCTAGTCTTGTCGCTGAGTCTGAGTCTGCCTGTCCTCCGTCCGTCGGGGGTGAGTGTGCCCTAGGCACGGACGTCCTTGAGGACAGGCAGGAGGAGTTCCAGTGTCTGGCCGCCGCTTCACCTCATCTCGCGTCTGTACTGCTCGCCCCTGAGGGAGACCCGGATGCACTAGACATCCCGACTCCGCGCTCTTACGCGGAGGCGATAGAGGGTCCCTACTCCTCTCAGTGGCAGGCAGCTATGGATGCAGAGATGGCTTCCTGGAAGTCCACAGGCACCTACGTTGATGCTGTTCCCCCTCCTTGGGCGAACATCGTCAGTGGCATGTGGATCTTCAGGGTGAAGCGGCCGCCGGGCTCTCCGCCTGTCTTCAAGGCGCGTTACGTTGCTCGTGGCTTCAGTCAGCGGCAGGGAGTTGACTACTTTCAGACCTTCTCCCCCACCCCGAAGATGACCACTCTTCGGGTACTGCTGCACGTTGCTGCTCACCGCGACTACGAGCTGCACTCTCTCGACTTCAGGACAGCTTTCTTGCAGGGCAGCCTGCACGAGGAGATCTGGCTGCGTCGCCCACCTGGCTTCACTGGGTCTTTCCCTCCTGGTACCCAGTGGAGTCTTCGGCGTCCAGTCTACGGTCTCCGCCAGGCGCCACGTGAGTGGCACGACACACTGAGGACTACGCTTGCGGCACTTGGGTTTGCTCCTTCTACTGCCGACCCGTCGCTGTTTCTGCGCACCGACACCTCTCTGCCGCCGTTCTACATCCTCGTGTACGTCGACGACTTGGTCTTTGCCACAGCGGACACTGCTGGACTCGCCTACGTGAAGTCCGAGCTGCTGAAGAGACACACGTGCACTGACCTGGGTGAACTGCGCAGCTACCTTGGCTTGCAGATCACCCGGGACAGAGCACGCCGCACCATTACCCTGACTCAGTCACACATGGTGCAGCAGGTCCTTCAGCGCTTCGGCTTCACGTACTCCTCGCCTCAGGCCACTCCTCTGCCTACTCGCCACTCGCTCTCAGCTTTGCCTTCGGATGAGTCCGTAGAGTCGAGTGGCCCGTATGCAGAGCTTGTTGGCTGCCTCATGTACCTGATGACCTGCACACGACCTGACCTTGCATACCCTCTCAGCATTCTCGCACGCTATGTTGCTCCTGGGAGACACCGACCAGAGCACATGGCTGCAGCGAAGAGGGTGTTGCGCTACTTGTGCAGTACATCGGGCATGGGGCTAGTGCTTGGAGGGCGCAGTCCAGTGGTCCTCACTGGGCACGCGGACGCTTCTTGGGCTGACGACTAGGCTATGCAGCGGTCGTCACAGGGTTACTCCTTCGGCCTTGGTTCCGGCTTTGTTTCGTGGCGGGCTACTCGCTTGTCTTCTGTTCTCGGCTCTAGTTGTGAGGCTGAGATCTACGCCGGGGCTATGGCTGCACAGGAGTTACGCTGGCTCACCTACCTGCTAACCGACCTTGGAGAGCCGCCTCGTTCTCCTCCAGTCCTGTTCGTAGACAACAAGGCCATGCTGGCCTTGTGTCGAGAGCAGCGACTGGAGCACAGGACAAAGCACATTGCTCTCCACTACTTTCTTGCTCGTGAGCTACTGCAGCGTGGACAGTTGCGACTTGCGTACGTGGCCTCTGAGGCCAACACTGCTGATGTCTTCACCAAGGCACTTGCGCCTTGTGATCATCAGCGTTGCTGCACGCAGCTGGGTCTTGTGCCTGTCTTGCCTCACTTGCTCACTTCTTGACCTTGCTTGTACCTTGACCTATATATACTCTTGTTCTTGCTTGCTTGACTCTTGTATATCTCTATATATGATCTTGCATGTGAACTGGCCTTGTGGCCTTTGAACTTGTGCTCGGAATGTGTGGTGACTTTGTGATCCACCCTGAGCTTTGCTTTGCTTTGCTTGACTGGTCTTGTGACCCCTTGTTCTCCCCCACTTTGCCTATGGGGGTGTGTCAGAACATTATAGCTTACTTATTTGTGTAGGCTATAGTGGGGTATCTCATAGGGGGTACAACCCAATTAAGGTTTCCTATTTGTACTCACTTCGTTCATAGTCATTCCATTCTCGTTCTTTCTTTCACAGCAACGGGGCCGCAAGGGCGGCGCGACGGGGCCGTTAGGGGCCGTAAGAGGGGCCGCTAGAGGACGCGAGGGGGAACGACACAGGGCGCGACTCGGGCAGGGGCCAAGTGCGCTCCGGGCAGGAAAAATATATCGGTGGGCCCTAAGAACAGTTCCCACGAGGGAACCAGCTCTGATACCATGTGAAGATTAGAACGAGAGGATGATTGAACTATGAAACAGTTGGGTACAAGTACTAACCCTAATTGGGTTGTACCCCTTATGGGCTACCCCACTATATCCTACACAGATGTATAAGCTATAATGTTCTAACAATTCGGCCAGTGCAGGGTGGTGCCGGTGCACATGTTGACTACTATTGGGACTAGAACCTCTAAGCACACCTTTAATTAACACTAGAATGTCCCCACGGGGTCACCTCCAAGGGTCCTCGGGTGCCTGGTAGAACCAGCCCCTCACCAAAGGTCCGTGTTTGTAGAGGGATTTCCCAAGTGTTAAAACGATCGTGTGCACTAGAGTACTCCCAAGCTCCGTTGCGCAGCGTCATATGATTGATTGGCTCGTGTGCAGATTGTACTCTTCACATCAATACGTTGTAAGAGCAATATTCACTCATAGAAGGTTCACAAAGATTGATCACAAACATGCACAAGCAAAGATTGATACTAACCCACCAAAAGCGAAAGCTGACAGCCCACCAAAATATTAGCTAGCACCATACTCCGAAATGCCAACTGTCTCCACGCAAAATCAGTGGCAACATACTCGCCCACGCATAATTGTGTAGCCCATACTTGTTCGTGGGAGCTCGTGGAAACTCGTGGAGATTCGTGGCCATGACAGCTCATGAAAACACCTAGCGATTCGCATAGTTACTGACGGAATTACGAATTCGCCGAATTTCTTCTCGCTCTGGTTCGCCTGACTTCGAAATGAAATGCGCACTTCGCGAAACTCCCTGGCGAAATTTTCTTTTTGGAGAATGGAGATAAAACGCTCAAGGGTCCCACAATTCAATTTGAGAAAGTTAGAACGAGAATGAAAGGACTGAGTGAAAAGTTGGGTACAAATACAACCCTACAAAGCTATACCCCATATGTGCTACCCCACTATAGCCTACAACAGCTATGTCATACAAATCTGACACACCTCCATAGGAAAAGTGGGGGAGAACAAGGGGTCACAAGACCAGTCAAGCAAAGCAAAGCAAAGCTCAGGGAGGATCACAAAGTCACCACACATTCCGAGCACAAGTTCAAGGACAGACGGCCAGTTCACATGCAGGAGTACACATATATATATAAAAGGCTAAACAAGCAAGAGCAGGAATATATATATGTAAGAGTACAAGCAAGGTCAAGGGGTGAGCAAGTGAGGCAAGACAGGCACAAGACCAAGCTGAGTAAAGAAGCGCTGATGATCACAAGGCGCAAGAGCCTTAGTGAAGATATCAGCAGTGTTGGCCTCAGAGGCCACGTACGCAAGTCGCAACTGACCACGCTGCTGCAGCTCACAAGCAAGAAAGTAGCGGAGAGCAATGTGCTTCGTTCTGTGCTCCAGGCGCTGCTCCCGACACAAGGCCAGCATGGCCTTGTTGTCTACGTACAGCACTGGAGGAGAACGAGGCGGCTCTCCGAGGTCAGTCAGCAAGTAGGTGAGCCAGCGTAGCTCCCGAGCAGCCATGGCCCCGGCGTAGATCTCAGCCTCACAACTGGAGCCGAGAACAGAAGACGAGCGAGTAGCCCGCCACGAAACAGAGCCGGAACCAAGGCTGAAGGTGTAACCCTGTGACGACCGCTCTGTAGCCTGGTCGTCAGCCCAAGAAGCGTCTGCGTGCCCAGTGAGGACCACTGGACTCTGCCCTCCAAGCACTAGCCCCATTCCCGACGTACTGCACAAGTAGCGCAACACCCTCTTCGCTGCAGCCATGTGCTCTGGTCTGTGTCTCCTAGGAGCAACATAGCGTGCACGAATGCTAAGAGGGTATGCAAGGTCAGGTCGTGTGCAGGTCATCAGGTACATGAGGCAGCCAACAAGCTCTGGGTATGGGCCACTCGACTCTACGGACTCATCCGAAGGCAGAGCTGAGAGCGAGTGGCGAGTAGACAGAGGAGTGGCCTGAGGCGAGGAGTACGTGAAGCCGAAGCGCTGAGCGGCTGCGTGTAGCAGCACCCGAAGAGTGGTCATCTTCGGGGTGGGAGAGAAGGTCTGAAAGTAGTCAACTCCCTGCCGCTGACTGAAGCCACGAGCCACGTACCGCGCCTTGGAGACAGGTGGAGAACCTGGCGGCCGCTTCACCCTGAAGATCCACATGCCACTGACGATGTTCGCCCCAGGTGGGGGAACCGCGTCAACGTAGGTGCCTGTGGACTTCCAGGAAGCCATCTCTGCATCCATAGCTGCCTGCCACTGAGAGGAGTAGGGACCCTCTACGGCCTCCGCGTAAGAGCGCGGAGTCGGGATGTCAAGTGCATCCGGGTCTCCCTCAGGGGTAAGCAGTACGGACACGAGATGAGGTGAAGCAGCAGCCAGACACTGGAACTCCTCCTGCCTGTCCTCAAGGACGTCCATGCCAAGAGCACACTCACCCTCGACGGACGGAGGACAGACAGACGCAGACTCAGCAACAAGACTAGCAGCGTAGTCTAGACGACAGCGAGCAGCAAAGTCGACGAGCTCAGCCACAAGAGCAGACGCAGCAGTGGACTCAAAGGAGGGGTCAGTGACGACAGTAGCAAGGAGACGCGTGACAGTAGGACTGGCAGCAGGAAGAGAGTCCGACTCCGGGTCGGCAAGTGGAGGAAGAGAGGACTCAGGAGGAGAAGGCAAAGGGGCACGTAGAGGAGCAGTGGACGGACGCAGAGACATCCGGTGCGTGCCAGGGACAGGAGGAGGACGCTGACGCGAACCGCGACCACTAGCGCGAGCAGCACGAACAGGCAACGCAGGACGAGACGCAGGCTCACGACGCTCAGCAAGACCTCCAGTAGGACCAGTGTAGGGAGAAGGAGAAGGCAGTTGGGAGGCCGGCGGTAGCTGTGGCTGTGACTGGACAGGCGGTGGACACTCAAAGGGAGGTGGAAGACCAAGAACCTGCTGAAGGAGCGGAACGAAGTACGGCCGAGGCCGCGTGGCGACTCCACACACAGCAGGGACAGCACCAGCACCCTCAGCGCCAACACCAGCGCCAACAGCACCACCAGCTGCAGTACCTCCAGTAGCACCAGCAGCACCCGCAGCAGGACCGCCGGCAGGATTGATAGCAGTAGTCTCAGCGCCAACCCCCTCAGCAGGTCTAGCTCCAGTCGCACCCGCACGTACAGCAGCTCCAGCACCCCCCGGACGAGCACCTCCGGGACCGGCGGCACCAGCACCCTCAGCAGCCGAAGAAGCTCCAGCTCCAGTAGTACGCCTCCGGCACCGGGCAAACCACTTGCGCAGCTCCTGTGGAGAGAGCGGCTCCCGCCGAGACGAACCACCCGGAGAACCTCCAGGCCCAGCAGCTCCAGACGTGGCACCCCCACGCTCAGCAGCTCCTGACGTAGCACCCCCAGGCTCAGCACCCCCAGGCGCAGCACCCCCAGGCTCAGCACCCCCAGGCTCAGCACCCCCAGGCTCAGCACCCCAAGTCTCAGCACTCCCAAGCTCAGCATCCCCAGGCTCAGCACCCACTCGCGTAGCACCCCCAGAGTCAGCACCCCCAGGCTCAGCACCCGCAGCAGTACCAGAGTCACCAGCAACCTCGGCCGGCTTGACTGCGTCTACCTGGGACACACCTGAAGGGGCAGGACCCTGAGAGGGGAGGGGGTCTACCGGGGGGGGGACCTGGCACAAGGAAGAGCGGAGGCAGGGGGAGGGAAGGAGTGCGGTAGGGGAAGAGACGGTAGTAGGGCACCGACTCGTCAAACGTGACGTCCTGTGAGGACAGAACACGACGAAAGGAGGGGTGGTAGAACTACCACCCTGGCGCGTCAGGGGGGAAGCCAAGGAAGACACAAGGAGCAGCACGAGGGGACAGCTTGTCCGTAGACAAGTCGCGGACAAACGCCCGAGATCCCCTGACACGGAATGCAGACGCATTGCCAACCTTCCCCGTCCACAGCAAAGCTGGGGAGGTCTCTGGCATGGAGACCCTGAGGTGAAGGTTGATCTGATGCGCCGCGTACCGAACCGCAAACGGCCACAGAAAATGGGGGGCAGCCGCAT